CAGGGGTTGGACAGACAGTAATCTGGAGTATCAAATAAACAGTGAATATTCTTATCATGTGTCTATTATCATATAAGATGTTGACAGGGGTTGGACAGACAGTAATCTGGAGTATCAAATAAACAGTGAATATTTTTGTTATGTGTCTACTATCATATAAGATAGTGCTTAGGGCTTCCTTGTTTGATATAATTGTTCATTATTGTTCATACAAGTATTATATACAATAATATCTACATTTAGGACTACAGAAATGATGTGATACAGTGACGCACATACAATAAGCTGAAACATTACTTATGTGCCAAATGAACACAACATAAAATTATGTAGTTTAAAACTTCTAGGTCCATGAACAAAAATGAGCATATTCCTTTATTAATTGAGGAAATAATTATGTTATAAGAATAAAAGTTTTATAGCTGCTACAGGGTATATCACAGCATGAATAAAAGCATCAAAAAGACATATTTTGGAGAGGCCTGACTCACCTATCATGGTTTCACATTCATATCCAGTATAGCCTGGCCGACATAGGCACTCTCGTCTGATGGCTGTGGCTCCGATAGGCATACAAGCAGCTCCATTCTGACATTGTTCCTCGAGGCAAATGTTTCTGGTTGTCTCACACCTTTAAGCAAACAGGAGTAAATGTTTCATTTCTGGCACTCAGGTTTGAATTTGTTTCCAAATATCAACAGCTTTCTGCAAACTTTTACAGATATGTGTGATAAATTGGGACCATGTCAACAAGGCTTTATACCTTATTATCAAGCTTTGCATCAACAAAACACACCAAAAATATTCAAAAAATTTAAAACATGGGCAAATGTTGGCATGCATGTTGACATGTATTGTATAAATTTACCTCAGATTTAGAATGCCCACAATTTTCACTGAAATTAATCGTATAAAATAAAACTAAGCACTCTAAAACAAAAATTGATGGAGGGGAACTCAACATATCACCTGGCAAAAATAATGCATTTCGTGATGATAAACTAACAGAGCTGCCATGGACCTGATATCTCAAGTGATAAATCTACGTAGTGACATACTAGTTTTATTTTCTGTGGAGCTGTGGCCAGTATGGCTAGTGTATTGATGACATGAAGCAGTGGTGTGACATATTAAAGCACAGTTCTATTTGACACTACTGCAAAACATCAGTGTCCTTGTACATAGTGTAAAAAAACTTGGTATCTGTGATGATACTCATTGCTTTCAGATGGAGAGGGAGGGACTGGTACATAAATACATGGCTTATCATGACTTCAGCAATATATTTACAGGTCTAAGTAACAGGAATGCCAGTTTCACATGAAATAAGGTGCTCATACATAACAAAATAAATGTTTAATGCACATGAAAAGCATCTAATGTATGTCAAATCTTACCCAGAATGTGTGCTATTCCTGACACAGAAAAGCAAAGCAAAAACAGCATGCTGAGATAATGTAAACCTTTGTCTTATGCACATATTAAACAGGTTTCAAGTAGACAGCAAATGTCACTAGAAACTCCTTGCAAAATTCAAAATTTACTAAGACAAAAACTGAGAAGCAAGCTTAACAACCACAGTGACAATTATCTTATCACATAGTTAATATATAAGTACACAAAATGCTGAATTATACTCATTTAATAAATTGTTAACATATATTTAAGTGTTTTTAGACTATTCTATTTTGAAAAAATCAAAATATCAAAAAATGCCATTGCAAATGACCAGCTGATTTAAAACATAATGCTTTACATTACCAGTAATGAATCCACAGAGGACAGGGAGAATGGGGTGAAGGGGGGGGGGGGGGGG